ACTTCGTATTTCTTATGTAGATTAAATGTGATTTTGTTTTTGTTTTAAGAAAATAAAAGATACATAGACAACAATATTAGGCTATATATAGAACCCATTGCAAGCCAATTTTGGACCGAAGTGTCTACTCATTAGATATCAATATAGCATGAACCAGAAATCTTTCAACTTTAAAGCCAAATAGAAACTATAGAATGCATCTCCAAGAATTTTGCCTTAACCTTTGTTTGCTTGAATATTTATAGAGTTGGCATATTTAACACAGTCTCTAAATTTATACGGGTCTTTAAACTATTTTTTTTTCTTTTCACGTCCGCTTGATAAAGTCCCCATCGGATTGTATTGGAGATAATTTTTCTTTTCAAACATTGTATTCTTAATGCTTATCCATAAATTTTGTAAGCAATAGGGATATGCTCTTATATCTAGATTTGTTGAGACGTGAGTTTAATATGGTTAGTATTAGTCATATGCTATAAGAAGATTAGATTATTGAGAAATTGATATCTTAAGAAAGAAAGAAAATTTGATATAACTTTTTCATTAATTAAATTTAGGTACGAGAAAAAGGAGATACTCAACAAATATCGATAATAAAAACTAAACATATAGTTTTGCAGTATCAAATAAACATGAGAATGTTATGCTTATTATATTTGAAATCTCTTTCATGCTTGTTCGAACTAAACCAACTCACACTTTGGAACAAGACGTATTACAACATTTGCCCTTTCGTATTTCATCTCTTAATATAAATTGGTAGGAGATCACTTCCAACTCTAAATACATTTTATTTTTAAAATAATGGGAGAAGAGTAGCATTAGATCCGAAACTTGTACTTATCTACCACGTTTGATTGATTTGATCAAGTAGTAAAAGTCCTAATGATTGAAGAGTAATTAAGGATTTTCCCTATATATGAAAAAGCAATGTGAAAGTGGTGCACATGTTAGTAATTTATTATTTTCATTATTTGTAAAAAAAAAAAAAAAGAAAAAAAGAAAAAAAAAAAGGAGGGTTTAGATTGAACTTATAATCAAGTGGGCCAAGATCATAATGTTTTATATATTAATGTGTTTGTTAAGAGTCCAATTTGTTCACTTTTTTCATGGGTGGCGCATAAGCAGTGACTAGTCACTACCGACTCCATAAAAAGAAGTTTATTGGACCAAATATTCACGAGGATGAGCTAAAAGTTCACTGCCCTCCACAATTGACTTTGCTTTACAATTTTATTATTATTATTTTTTTAATCCCTTAGTGACTCATCTCTTATTTTTATCTTGCTCACCTTAAAATTAGGATAAAGTCACTTGTACATTCTTCTCTCGACATCATTGTTTACATTCCCTTTGTTTTCAAAAAAATTTGGATGTGAAAACATTTTTTTAAACTGGCGAATGATTTGTTGCTACGTGGCACAATGTAAATAAAAATATAAAAAATGATTTGTATATAGCATGATTGTTAAAATTGTCACCTTGTATTAAAGTCTTAATTATTAGATATGTACTAACAAAATCTGATTAAGATCTTGAACCAATTGGGTTGTAAAAGTTTCTCGTGTCTAGTCAAATTAACAATTTATACAATAAAAAGTGAAAAAAAAAAAAGATGAAATGAGGTTTGTCTTAAAGATTTTGACATCTACGCTTGGTGTCGACAAGGTTTACGGATGTCCTTCTCTCAAAATACAATGCTTTTTCAATGTTTGATATTACACCTGCATCAACCTTGTCGGTTGAATCAATATATTGATGCATTCTTTTTTAATGAAATAAAACACAAACTTAAATTGCACAGATAGATATTTTTGAAAAATAATTTGGACATAATTTTATTTTAGCAAAATAATCTGGACATAATTTTTGAAGAGGAGAGTTAGAAATCAATTTGATATTGTAATTGATTTGGTGTGTTGAATTCTAGAATAATGGATCCCTTTAAATAACACTATAAATAAACAAGTTAAAACTTGTAATCTTTTATAAGTGGGATTCAATTATAATCTTTATACACTAACAATATTCAAACTAATAGGTTTTTTATTGAAGCTATTTTTCATTTCACCCAATTAATTGCAAAGTCCACTATATTAAATAATTCACCTAATACTTCGATTCAATAAATTCAACATATAACTATATATGTGACATAAAAATATAGTTCAGATTATCATTATTTAAAGAATAATTCTATTCGCAACTAATCACTACGACAATCACCCTCCGTGGCATGCACATAGCAGGTGATTATTTAATGTATCATTCAATTAAAAACTATCACATTAATGCATCAAATCACCACCTGTCATATATATGCCACATAGACAATTGCCGTAGAAAATGATTACAAATATCATCACTCTTATTTAATGGCAACGCCCATATGGTTTTTAACTTTTAGGGCCTGTTTGAGCCACATTATTTTCAAAAAATACATTTTTCAACAGTGAAATAATATTACACATAAATCTAAAAAATTTCCTTATTATTTAACAACACATTTTTCATCAATTTGACATGAATAATGCATTTTTTCCTAAAATGTGGCTCAAACATGGGCTTATATAGTCCAACAAGTGACAACCTCTACTTTAGTAAGTTCAAAAATTCTTCAAATTTCTGCTGTCATTATTCCATAAATATGTTCTTTACCTAAACGATACACCTAATTTGATACACGCACTTACTAGAAAATATATCTTTTCCATCCAACTGAAGAGGGTCCAAAATGACCGAAAGTGAAAACCTTTACATGCAAGATGTAGGTTAAAAAAAAAAAAAAAAAAAAAAGGCATTAATTTTCAAATGATTAACCGTTTAGATTAAGGCACGTGAAAGGTTAAAACAGTATTAAAATATGACTTAATTAATTAGGTTTTGAACATATTTAAATAATGTGTGTCTGTCGGGATTATGTGGATATAAACAACTGGAGCGGTCGAAACAGTACGAACAACTTTGTCTTCCAGGTTGCATGCAAGAAGCTATGGTAGACCCCACAATATTGTCTTTTGCACGTGATTTTCTGATTCTCAAACCCTAGATTCTTGTCTGGGTGCCACGATTCTGGTTTTTACTGGTGTACTTTCAACAAACACTTTAAATAAGTGAAATAATCTCTTTAGATATCAACCATACATTTATTTCTTTTCTTCAAAATTCTTTTTTTTTTTTGATGAGTCATTTTATTTAAAAATTTAAGCCCCTATCTCATCTCCATTTTAATTTTGAAAGAAAAAAATTTTGATGTAGTAATTTTTGAAGATTGTATGATTAAAAAATAAGAGCATCTTCAAGATAATTTCTAAATACGAAATACTCTTTATTTTGATGAGTTAATACTTAAAAAGGTTACTTGACAGATTTTCTATTTAAATTTTTTGAAAATAAAGATTGGGTTCGGCCCTTCAAATTTAGATGGCAAACTTACCCTATTTATAATTAATAATGATTACATTTAATAAATTACAAATTTTAACACTTTACAATTTAAATTATTCAAATCACATTTGAATAAATTGACCATTAACACATAAAAAAATTATGTTAAATGAGAGATGAAAAGAAATCAATAAATAGTTATTGGAAAAATTAAAATAAAAAGTCAATCAAACACAATAATTTACAATTCTCAGGAAATTAATTTCTAGGTAATTCAATTCTTTGAAATTCGTTTTTAATTCAATTCAATTCCATCTTTGCAATCAAACGGACCCTAATAGATTTTATTTATTTAATTAATATCTTCATAATGATTTCGTTAAAAAATCAGTGATAGCGTTCAAACACAGGCTTAAATATTTTTACAAAAGTTAATGAATCACGTGATTAAAAAATTAATACAAAAATTATGAATCTCATTAAATTTGTGCGAAACAAAGGCTAAAAGAGAATAAATAGTCGAGTGGAGATTCCACTAAACTTTTAAAATTTGTTTTATTGGCCGACCACGGCAATGTTTTAATGGACGAGGATGATACAGTACTTGGATTTTCAATTTTGTCTAAAGGGAGATTCAGAATTTATATCATATGCATTTGACGTTTTGTCAACTAGTCACACTTGTTTAGCTGGATATATTTTCCTTAATTTTTAACTTGGTAAACTTATATTTTTATTTTTTTTATAATCCCGATACAATAAATTATTGACATGTTACATATTAAGGGTGCGTTTGATTATTAATATTTTTCATGAAAAATGATTTTTTTTTTTTTTACCCAAATTCCTACTTTTATTCAGTTTGATTGACATTTTCTCCTATGGAAGACATTTTCATACTTTTGATCACGTGACTGTATTTTTCATAAAATCAAAGAATATATTTTTTTTAGGGAGAGTAGGATTTTATTTTTCAGGAAATTCACTCTCTTTTTTTTTTCTCATCTATCCACTCTCTCTCATCTACTCACCAATAAAAACCAGACAAGTATTATATTTTTTAAGCTAAAAATTAAATCAATCAAATATATATAATTGACGATTTTCATACAAATAAATCTAGGCAATTGAAGTATCTAGAATTTATTTTCTTTTCCTACAAATTTCATGATTGAAATTAAACGCATCGTAAGTTCTTTTCATTGTACCAAACAATATAAACAAAGATATATAACTTTCATTTACTATAGATATGAGTGTACTACAAAATTTGATCGTGTATATGTTTCACTAAGTTTAAAATATATATACATAAAATTTATTTGTAATGAGTGAATTTTAAAATACATACTTATTGTTTCTATTAACAGCCTGTTTGGATTCGATTTTTTTATTCAAAAAATTGATTTTTTTTTACCGTTATTTTACTATTTCAGCCGTCATATTTGACTTCTTCTCTCACAGGTGGCCCCCACTTTTCACCTAACGATAAAAAAATCAATTTTCAAAATCACTCTCAAACAGGCTCTAAAAGTACGTAATTCTTACTTTGTTATCAATAATGTTACATTTTTTAAAAAGGATATTTTCAAATGTATATGTGAAAACAAAAATTGGTCTAAATAAAGATATAGCTGCTACATGGAAACATAATATCATGAATAACTCTTGTACAAAGACATCCATCCATCCGAGGAAAATTGACATGCATGACATGGCATCAAGTAATGCCTACAAATGGATTAAGTGATATACACACATGATTACATATATTTCATTTAACACAACGTACGTACACAGTATATATTATCAACTTTATCATGCCACAGATTATATGTACCTCGTTTTTCAGACATACTACATTAACACTGCGTATGTACCAGATTAAACACCATTTTCAAAGTCACCATTATACGGCTTTGCTACAATCAGCTTTTCCAAATCCAACTTGTCGATTGGTCATATCAAATTCCACCCATAGATTTTGTTGATGAAAATTACCTATGATGTTACTTGTAACTCCAAGAGATTCGGATCGTCCGATGCCGACACAGTGGATCCCACCTTCTACTTGATCTAAAATTCTCTCCTTGCTAATTAATATTTCTACACCCTTTTCGAATTGAAAAGTCATGTCACCTAGTAGCCGTCCGATCTCGATCGGATTGCCATCAAAGCACATGTCCAGTGAACCTCCGTAAACATACCCTTTCTTTAATTTGAGGCCTGCTAGTCTCATTACTTCTTCTCGTACTTTAGAGTACGCAGTATCCACTAGAAACGTGTATTGGGTGCCGGAATCGATCATTGTCTGGCCAGAACCACCTGCGTTTGGCCGGAAAACGCCCTCAGGGATGTTCAATTTTTTGCCACCAATTTGTATTCCCAGCAGTCCGACGGTAAAGGCTAGGGGATCAAGATTGGGCATACGTTGACTTTGAGGAAAAGTCAAAAGACTGATATATTGAAATGTATGCGAATTGGGATTTTGGCCAAGATAAAATGTTCCCGTGGGCATTGTTTGGACACGGCCCTGTCTCTGTGGCACGCAATAAGAAAATTTTGGGATCTTTAATTGGGAGACAAATGACAACCGTCCATGATTCATCCCCAAAATACCCTTGGCCTCGGCAGATTCTGTGGCACATCCAAGAATTAAAGGAGGGGTACTTTGGGAACGAGAAAATGTAAATTTTTCTCTGACGAGATTGCCCTCGGCCAGTGTCCCGTCCGCATAGAAGTAAGAATAGTGGCACAAGCGGTTCTGGTCACACGAAGTAGGGAGGGTAAAATCGGGAATCCGTGGCTTGCAAAGCGGGTGAGTACAAGGTAGAACAGAGAAAGAAGAAGAAAGAGAAGGATCAAACGACGTCGTGGGAGGTGGAAGTGGCCTTTTAGGTGACTTCTTGTGGCATTGAATCCATGAAAGCTGACTGCCCGTGTCCAACACCATTTGTTGAGTCTGAGGTGGGGTCCCAATTGGGAGAGAAACAATCAGAGCCATTGAATACTTGAATGATGATTTATAGTTGTATGATGATGACCCTGGAACTGCCTTCTGCGCCATTGCTTTACGAGCTGGTTGGGATGTAAAAAGAGAAGCCCTTAAAACTGCTTTGTAAGAAGAATTTTTCGACAGAGGGGCTGAGGTTAAAGGGAAAGAAAAAGAAAGAGTGTTCTCTTGGACTGTAATTTGTATAAAGTTACTCAAAATGAGCAAAACAAAAAAGAAAAACTTGGAGAAGTACTCCATAGCCATAGCCAAAGATTTTTACACAGAGATTTTGGAAGAGAGATGAGGCTGGCATGGGGAGAATGGTGAGGGTTTGGTTGGTATTTATATGGGATATGAGAACAGTACAACGCCAAAAAAAGGGTGAAGGCAGGCAGAACGCGGTTTCTAACTTTCTTGTACATAATCAGGTGGTGTATCTAATGTAATGATACAAGTTGCAGACTATTACGTTAGTATGAGAGTTTATTCAGTACGCACTCGAATGATAGCGGCTGCGAGTTCCCCGTGATAAAAAAAGAAAAAGGGCAAAAAAAAAAAAAAGAAATGATACAAGTTAGATACACAAACTAGTGCAGTCAAAACCTCGCTCTTTCCTATTTTTTAATTTTCAACTTTTAGTTAGAATTGGGGATTTTGAGTTATTTGATTATAACGAGTAGAGAAATGAATGAGTGGATGACAATAAGGGAAGTTACAGGGGAGAATGGAGTCTTTCCATTGGGCTCACTCACCAAAAGTGTGACTCTACTCTCTCTACGATCTCGTCTCTTAGTAGGAGCAATTCTCCATTTTTATTTTTGTTATTGAAGTCGCATATTTCTTTCAATTTGACAAGTAGCAAGGCTGCTCACACATAAGTCGACTAGTTCACGAGCGAGCTGGCTCTCGAGCCAATTGGTCGTAGGCGGTCTTTTTAATCGTACAATTGTTAGTGGATTTTTTTTTTGGTCGATCATAATAGATTAATAATATGATAATTTTTAATTTATAAACAACGAGGTTTTTATTAGGTGTCATAACTTAGAGCCTGTTTGGGCCCGATTTTTTCACCCAAAAAATTGATTTTTTGATCGTTATTTCACTATTTCAGCTGTCATATTTGACTTCTTCTCTCGCAGATAGACCCCACTTTTTTTCTAACGGTCAAAAATCAATTCTTAAAATCCCTCCCAAACAGACTGTTAATGTAATTTACAAATTCAAGGAAAAGTGTGTCCCATATGCCACTCATTTTCTAGCACTTTGTTATTTCTCTTCCATTCTTTTAAAGACTTTTGAGCACTCTTTCTTTTGAACGAACGAATCTATATTTGTCAAGCTCTAATGCTCTTACAACCATTTTTTCCTTTTTGATTTTATATGATATGGATGGGGTTGTTCTAATTGATCCAATATTTTAAGCAATGTTTGTAAATTATTTAAGCCAGAAAATTAATGGGTTGTTGGCTTTTTGTTGCTTTTCACTTTTTCTTGCTTATTAAGAAATTAAAAGCAGATTAATTGTAATAAAGCATCAAAGTTGAAATTAACATGTTCTTAAGAATACACAGATGTCCAATATACAATAAATTGTCCTACGTTCTGCTCATATTGCCTTTAAATTTTAGGTGGTAACCGAAATCTGTGGGACCAACAGAGGTAGGGGTGGGGTCCATATTCTTTAAGACATTGATTATAGAATAAGTTGATGCATGCAATTTGGCACTAAGTTCCACAAAATCTATGTCCTATGTTAACAAAAATATTTCACATGATCCATTAACAAGATTTTGGCCATTTTGCATATACCCATCACTTAGCTACCTATTTTAATTTAATTATTTTTAAATGCATTATTAAGCTCCCAATGTTATATAAATGTGTTGATTGGTCCTCTATTGTCATAAAAAATCGTAAATACATGTATATAAGACACATCACTAAACAAGAAGACTTAAAGAATTATGTATAAAAAGATTGTCGTTTTTTATACCTAATTAGATTTATATGTCGTTCTCCAAATCAAGACTATAAAGTCTTCTCATAGAAATAAAAATTAATTACAGGGGTGTGAATGATTTCAAGCTAGATTCATCCAAAGAGAGGAAAAATTGAATCATTTTTTTCTTAAGAAATCATTGAGTATAGGAAAATGATTTCATGGGTCATTGTATAAGTTATAATATAATATGTAACGTCATTATAGTCTCCTATTTTGCTTATTCATTTTTGAAATATACTCATATATATATATATATATATATATATA